TATATTTATATTTATATTTATATTTATATATATATAACGTGATGATTTATTTCTGCATATCAGAATTACTAGCTGAGGACTGGGGTTTATGTATATCTTAGTGGTAGAGTACTTAGCATGTATACCAGAAAAGAAAAGAAAAAAAAATCAGTGGGGAAAGTGGTGACTCAAGTTAATTGAAGCTTTTGTTTATATGGATTCTGTATGTTTACCAAATAATGATAGAATTATATTCTTAATCATTATTTGAAACTTGTTTTGATCAAGGTAAGATTGTACAGAAAAGTCTGAAATTGTGAGTTTACAGAAATTTCTTAAAGATTATCTCACTGTTACTGTCTTGGTGATGTAAGTATTGTATTGGGCCTCTAGGATCCTCCTTTGTATTTGGCTCTGGACCTTTAGCACCATCTGCCAGTCCAACGTTTGGTGCTAACCAGACCCCAACATTTGGACAAAGTCAAGGTGCCAGCCAGCCCAATCCCCCAAGCTTTGGATCAATTTCATCATCGTCAACAGCATTGTTTACTGCTGGTTCTCAGCCTGCCCCACCTACTTTTGGAACAGTGTCGAGTAGCACTCAGCCTCCTGTGTTTGGGCAGCAGCCTAGTCAGTCTGCATTTGGTTCTGGAACAACTCCTAATTCCAGTAAGTTTGTATTGATATAGTTTGTGTATTTACTTAGATTATGTGTATATTAAAAACAGTATTTTTTTTCCCCTGAATTTTTAAACCATGCCTATGGAGATGTTCTGGTAACTTTTGTGAAAACGCATTATGAGGTGTGTAAAGCCATTTGGGTTTTAGGAGTATTTCTATTGCTGAATTATTTTATAATTTTTATTAAATAATGTATACTTAACAGGACAATATCAATAAAATATTAAAATTTTAATGTGTAATAGTGTTTAATGTAAAATCAACATTTTCAATATCAGCTAATCACTTGCAAAAATATGAATAACAGCAGAAATAAATTCCTATGTCAAATACAATGAAAATGCAAACAAAACTACTACAGAAATAATCTTTGCTTCAACACCTATGGCAGTCCTCACGTGACAGCAGCATGTGTTTTGCTGTCTTACCGTTTTTTGGCAAGTTGTACTTGTTACCTCTTCCTATTGGTCAGGATCTTCCTATTATACAGTGTCCACTAAGCAAGAAAATGAAATCTCAGTGAAATATCAAATATATAGTGAGTGTTTAGAATAAACATAAGCATTTTCTGTATCACTGCATCTAAAAAATAATATTCTTAGGTGAACTACAGTGAAAATACCAATGGCCACTGGCCATTACTTTGTTTTATGTGATATAATTGCTGCATAAACTCATAAGATCTGTCACAAAAATAATCTTATTTCAGTTGTCATACCTAAGACAGTTTTCACACATGAAAACAGCATATCCCATACACTAGTGTCATTTACACTGACAGCATCTGTTTTTCGTTCTTCTGTCCTCTTTGGTAGGTCATACTTGACATTTTGCTGGTCTTCCTGTTCTTTTCAGAGGTGCTTGGGACACTTCACTGTCTGCTCACCAGTCTACTCCAGAGTTATTTTGCAGAGTTCTTCAGGCAGATACATACTGTTCTTCCTCTGTTGTGACTAATCATTTATCAATTCCAGTCCCAGTTCTCTAAGGAAATTTCCCTGTGATACTTTGTGCTTGTTTTTTTTTTTTTTTTTTTCCTGTTTTGTACCTGGGATTGAATTTAGGATCTTGTACTTGCCAGGCAGGCGCTTATGCCAGTAAGCTATCTCCCTGGCCTGCTTGTTACTTTCTTTGTAAACTATGAAACTATGTATGCCTGACATGTTTAGGACTGAGTAAAACAGGATCACTGGCCAGTACTTTGTATTTTGTGTGACATAGTTGCTGCATAACTCATCAACAACGTATACTCTCCTGATGATTTATTGTATACACTTTACACTTAGCCAAAAGTGAGAACAGACAGTAGTTCAGAATGCCACAGGTCGGGGACAAAAAAACCCAGGAGACTGCTTAGTTTGAACCACATGGATCTTTCTTCCTCCACTTGGCTGTCATGGCACAGAGGTTTCTAAGATGGCATTAAAGTCGAGAGCTCTCCCTTTTCTTTTGTTGTACAATGTGACTGTTTCTAGCTTCATGTTAAGGATTTCCTATCACTTTTTTTTTTTTTTTTTTTTTTTTTTTTTGAGACAGGGTTTCACTGTAGTCTAGGCTGTCCTGAAACTCATTATTACCGGCTGACCTAGAACTCACAGGATCTTCCTGCCTCGGCCTCCTGAGTGCTGGGATTACAGGTGTGCACCACCTTGCAGGGCTTCACTATTGATATTGTCATCATAGTGTATGGACATTGTCAGTACTTTGTTGTTTTTCTTTACCATGGAGGAGGTTGCAACGTGGCTTTTAGGAATCTCTGCTTTGTTCGTAGGAGTAGTTCCTGGGCTGGTCAACCCATTTTCTTTTAGCAAATGTAACATTAGTGGTTAACTAGTAAACCAGTTGTCCAGGGTGACCTTGGGGTTAGTTTTTGAAATAGGGACAACAAGATTGTTCACAATGTCAAATGGTTTATTAGTGCGATTTCTAAATTCAAAGTGTAAAATGTCTTCACATTTACCAGATCTTTTTTGTTTTTTTGCGATACTGGGGATTGAACTCAGGACCCTGTGCTTGCCACTTAATCTACTAAGCTATCTCTCCGGCCCCAGATCATATATTTTGATACCATGTTTGGAAGGTCTATTTGGCATGTATTGACTAAACCTTCAAGAACATGAGATGGTGGAAGTTGTCATTTGTCATATATTTGGATGGCATATAAATTTTGGCAGAAATGAAGCTTTCAAAAAGAGTGAATAGCAGTCAAATTGTCAGATTTTTTGGGGGGGTGGCTCTTTTTTGTTTTTTTGTCTTCAAAATACAAAATTTGAAGGCAATCCAATCAAATTTCAAAATTTTGAGTTAGTGTGTTTCACAACATCTTGTAGCATATCACCCATTACAATTTCCAATACATTCCGGACCTGCTGTGCAGGCCCTAGGCGCATTGAGACAGTGATTGAGACTGGGCGTGGTGACACACACCTATAATCCCAGCACTTGGGAGGCTGAAAACAAGAGGATCACTAAGAGTGTGATCTGTGCAGTGCCGCCCTGTAGACCCTACCCTATATACATTAAAAAACAAAACAAAATAATTTCCAACATCGAATCAGAGTATTGGCATTCGTTCAATAGGATTTTTCCCCTATAAGAACCTAGTAACATTTCCTGACTTAGTTGTAGTGTTGTGTCCTTCTGGTATACACATTTTATAGCATTTTGAGTAGGCAAATATTTATATTACTGTTCATCTGAAATCAAGGTCATTTTGCATTTGTTTGTATTTCCTTGCTTGTGTCACACTCACAACTTCTTTGCCTTACATGATCCAGTTTGTCATTGTTAGCAGAATCACCCAATGGCTCACTTTCAGCCTTTCCCCAAAGTTGTAAAAGCAAATTTTCATGTGGCATTGTACAGAATTGGGCTTAATTTAATTCCCCAAGGAAAACGAAAAGATTTAGACACACAAAAATGTAACACAGCACATAATCTGGATAAAACTCACCTGTTTGACACTCATGCATACATCTTGCCGTTCATCTCCCAAGTGGGTGAACACAAAGATGGCTATTCCTCCTGTGCAGCTGCAGTAGACAGGTATGGTGTGGGTGTCTGCTACCTCCCCTACGCCCGTGCCTCTGGGGTAAATGTCTCCTACTTGACAGAGTCAAAGTATATCTAGATTTACCTATAAACATCATTCCTGAGTTTCACCCAGATATTTTTTAAGAGATTCAAGTGTATTTTAAGGTGTTCTCCTTGGTATGGGAATGGGATTTATTCAGTTCTGTTTTTCTTCATTTGGAGGCCCTCTAGCTTTTACTTGAACTGTTTTCCAATCCTGTTTATGATTTAATTTTGAAGTTTATATACCCCAGTTTCATTACTCAATGTAGGATAGCTCTGCTGAGTTGTCCTATGCCAAATTGATAATAGTCTGGTCTTTTTCCCTTGACTTGAATATTTAATCTGAGGTTCTCATGATTTAATTATGACTAACATAGGGTTGGCCAGATAGTTCAGTGGACTAAAGCACTTGCTTAGGCAGAGCGCAGCGGCCGAGATTCGATCCCCAGCATGCCCCAGGGGGTGTGCACTGAGATGGTGATTGAGATTGGGTGTGGTGGCACGAACCCATAATTCTAGTGCTTTGGAGGCTGAAAACAGGACAATCACTGAGTCCGATCTACATAGTGAGACCCTGTAGACCCTGTACTAAATTCAAAAAAAATTAAAACGTGTATTTTAATAGTATATTTCATTAATAGTGTACTGTTGGACATTTTTCTAATTGTGAAATAAAAGTCTCAGAAAAAGGCATAAAATATACCTGACAATGCTGAAGTGAACATTTGTGTAACCACCATCACTCAAAATCTCCTTCTGGGTCCCAGTTTGATCATCTTCCTCTTTTCTTCTAATGGTGACCACTGTCTTATCTTCGATGGCAGTGACTTTTCTTTGGTTTGCTTGGTATATGTGTCTAGAAAATACAGTCTAGCTTATTTTCTGTCTACATGAATGGATTCATACTGTATCTTTGGATTCTTTCACTCATGTTTTAGATTTGTAAGGTTTGTCTGTGTTACTAAATATACTTTGTTCCTTGCCATTGCTGTAGTCTAGGTGACAGTGTATGGATATACCACTGTTTATCCATTTACCGTTACTGGGTGTCTATCCATTTACTGTTTGTGGGTGTCTGAGTTAATTTTAGTAAGAAGTGCTGATTTGGATATGATCTTAGAACATATATATGCTTTTCTGGAGTGGGATCACTGAGTTTAAAGGTATACTTTAGAAGTATACTTAGAAGTGTACTTTAGAAGATAATGTATGTACATTATCTCTGAATTGTACTACTTCGTAGCTTACAACCATTCTGTGAGAGTTACTACATTTTTATTTTAAGTTTTTTAATTTATTGGATACAGGGTCTCACTACCAGTTTGGACTCATAGTAATCTTCCTGTCTCAGCCTCCCCAGTGCTGGGATTATAAGTGTACACCACCATACCTGGTTTTGGTGGCCAGCACAGCATGCAGTACCAGGGATCAAACTCAAGTCCTTGTGCTTGCTGGGCAGACACTTAGACTGCTGAGCTATCTCCCCAGCCTGAGAGTTAGAACATTTAAATTGTTTATTTTAGTGAATAGTGAATTTTTGTTTTGGAACACATACTTATTTTCCCCCTCCAAAAAACCTTTGGAAATTGGTT